AAAAGTCCATAAATAGTCCTTCAACTTTATGAGTTCTGCACCATTGGTCCTTCAAGTTTCAAAAGTCCATAAGTAGTCCTTCAGGTACACGCCAGCCCTCCATATGAAGTCTTTTTGACAGTAAATATTAAATGTTAAACAAAATACTAGTTTCATATAATACGAGTAAATTCCACTAGGTACGATTACTCCATATTATATGGAGCTAGTATTCCATTTAGCTTTTAACATTTACTGTCAAAAGGACCTCATGTGGAGGACTTACGTGTACTTGAAGGACTATTTATGCACTTTTAAAACTTGAAGGACCAATCATGCATAACTCATAAAGTTGAAAGACTATTTATGGACTTTTAAAACTTGAAGGACCAATCGTGCACAATTGATAAAGTTGAAGGACCAATGGTGGAGTTAAGCCATATTTTTAACAAAGATTGCATCTTTGTTCCAATTAACTTCAGGTGCAAATCAAGCAAACAATAAGAACAAACCTAGAAACTTTCATAGCTTAAATCTATACATATGACATCATAGAAACTTTCTAATGATAATTCATGGTGCAAATCAAGCAAGCAATAAGAACAAGCCAGGATAGGAACATGAAAAAAAACACTTTGGAACACAATTACTAACTAGTCTCATAATAATTCTTTTTAATTGAGATAATAGAAAGATGTGTATCTCTCTTGTAATGGAAAAATAGAAGGAAAAAAAACCTGGGATGAGATCCTGATTCCGCTGGCAGCTTGGGATGAGAAGAGAAATAGAGAACGCCGCTGGCAGCCGGCGGCTTCTGATGAAAAGAAACGGAGATGTTGGAGGGATGAAGTTAACGGAAGATGGGAGAAACCGTCGATACAAAGAAATAATTATTTAATTTTAGATTTGGGGCCTGATTGTAATAAGCAAAAGTATGTTAAATGATGTGGAATATGGTACCACATGTCTACTTCCTATTGGTCCATGTATTGAGTGTACACACTATTTGTTTCACCCGTACGGAACAGTGACTTTTTAATGAATAATAATTTTTCATGAATTTACAAGTAATAATAATAATAATAATAATAATTTTTCATGAATTTACTAGTATACTACTCCCTCCGTCCTATAATGATCTTCCCAGAGCACTATTCCAACTTCACGGCAATTTATATTTATTTGTGTTTTTTCATGGCCTATATGATAAAATAAAATATTCTTGTCACCACTTGTTTTGTTGAACTTTTGGTGTAGTTTTTAAATATGTATGTTTTATTTTTTATTTCTATACCAATATTTAAATAAAATAGATTGAAAAAACTTGGGATTTTTCTTCGTTTTGCGAACCGGGAAGATCATTATAGGACGGAGGGAGTA